CCGGCGCGCCTTTCTCCCCAGAAACCAACCAGCGGCTTCGCGCCGCCGCCCTCCCTCCTGCTGTCTCCACCCTTCGCCCGCCCCCAGTGCCAGGGACCCGGGGGCAGTTTCTTGCCGCTGTCACCCGGCCAGGCGGGGTACCTGGCGAGGCTCTGGAACCTAGGGGCAGCCTCCGAAACCGGGAGTCGCGCACTGGGGGGCGCCCGAGGCGGTGAGCCGAGCGCCTTGCTCCCGAGCGCTACGGGCCTCGCGCAGCGTCCTCTCGACCGCGCCTCCCTGGCCCCTGGCCGCTCCGCCACATCCCAGGGATCGGGGTTGTGTCCCTCCCCGTGAACTCACTCACTCGGCCGCCGCGCCGCCGCCGCTGCTCCCCGGGGCCCGCTAACATTGCTTGGGGCCCAGCTGGCCACTCCAGAGCCAGACTGCACGGGTCTGATGAAAGCGCTGCACGCAGAGAGCCTGGAACCCGTGCTTCTCCTTCCAGGAAAGGCGACCGCACCGCCTCCCCCCAAAACACACCCCCTCTTTCCCTCCCAACCTTCCTCCGCCTCCTCCCCCTCCCCATTCCCTCAGCGCCTTGCGCCCAGTGCTGACTCGCCCTCTGGGCGCCGCGCCGCTTGGAGCCCAGGGTCAGCCGGCTCAGTTCTGCTTGAGCTGCGGACGCCAAGTTGTCATTTTCTGGCCTCCTGGGGTTTGGTGAGAGTAATCTGGGGTTAGGAGTCCCTGCAGGAGACAGAATAAGGGGCCCTAGCACAGTGGTTAAGACCTGGGCCGCTAACCGAATGGTCAACGGTTCGAATCCACCAGCAGCTCCGCGGGAGAACCACGAGGCAGTCTGCTTCCGTAAAAATTACAGCCTTGGAAATCCTATAGGGGCCGTTCTACCCTGTCCTATAGGGTCGCTATCAGTCTGAATCCACTCGAGGGCAACGGATTTGGTGTGAGGGACACTGAAATCCGCAGCAAAATCACTCTTTGATAGGCTCACATATCTATGTATAGACTTGTCTCTCACCGACGCCCAGGGTCTTCCCCGCCGCCAGTAGCCCAAGCGGGCGCTATCTGGCTTGGGGGGCAGGGCTGGTGGAGGCAAGAGCTGCCAACCGGCGCCAGGTTCAGAAAGGCGCACGAAAGTGCCCCCTCCCAACCACACATCCACCCCCGCGCGGAGTGGCGCGCACCACGCTGGCTGCGAAGGGCTGTTGGTTTCCCATCCCGCCAGCCCCACGGTGAATCCCAAATTACTTTGTTAGGTAATTAGAAAGTGTTGATAATTATTTCTTTCATAATTTAGCGGTGTGACGGGAACGGGGAAATGATCTTGTGAAAGTTCACACGTGCAGATGTATTAGTTACTGATTCATTTGATTAAATGGTAGTCTCAAGTGCTCGGATCCGCAGCTGAAGGCTCCCCATTAGCATAACACTGATGTTTAATTTTCATACGCATAATTAGCCATATATTTAACACTAATAGCAACATGCAGCCTTTCAGCGTTAAACAGCCCGGGATTTGATCTGGCCTGGGCTGAACCTTCGCTGCTGCACCTTCCCCTGTCTGGGGAGCGCAATGATCACCGTACAAACCTCTGTAATCAAGCACATTTTGGCAAAGAGGGAGCACCAATAAAAATGAACATTCAAAACAAATGACATCGGTGTTGTCGTTACAGATATTCGTGGAGGGGCTTTTCTCCTTTTTAACTTCGGTAACAGGAGCTGCTGCCCACAGAATTCCTCTTTGACTTAAGGGCGCGATGCTGGGGGCAGAAATATTTCAGTCAGCCTGGTTGGAGCTAAATGAAAAGCAAAACAAAACAAAACAAAACAACAAACCAATCTTCCAAACCAATAACGCTTTTGCCAGTGTTTAAAAGACTTTTTTTCCCCCTCTTAATCACCGAACCACACGGCGAGGCTTTGTAGCAACAACCAACGAATGACTTCGCCACCAGACAACCCCCAGAGCCTCTCGGCTCCGGCTGTCTGATTTCCTGGTTGCACTTGCGGTTTTAATGGCTCCTTCTTAGCGCCTGTTTTGGGGTGTGGAGTGCCAAGCGGTGCGCCCAGCCCAGCCGTGCGGATGCCGCCCAGGCCCCCGCTTTCCTGAGCGCTCCTCGCGGGCCCTGCCCACGTAAGTGATCACCGCCGCGGGCTCGGGGTGGGGTTGGGGCCGGGCTGGCGACTCCTCAGGGGTCAGGGCAACGCGTGAGGAAACCCAAAGGCCCTGAGAATTGAAGGGGAGAGAGGCGGCCGCACCTCGCGACCGTCTCCGGGCGGTCCGTCGGGTCACTTCTGATAGGGGGATCCAAGTCTTTCGCGTCGCGGGGGACCTGGCTGGCTCCGAGGAACAAAGACCCCTCAAGCACCCCCTCCGGAAATCGTTTCAGTCTTGCTTATTTTACAAGTGAATTGTGTGTGGGCAAGGGAGCGTCTACACTCCTGAGTTATTTCTAAGCCCCAGAGGAGCGAGTCTGGGGAGGAGCGCAGAGCGGGGCCCCAGGGCGCCACGTCTCCCCGCGCCCGCTCGCTTCTCCAAGTGTGATCTTGTCTCTCCTCCCCGAGCCGGGAGTGCATTTGCACCCCCCTCCCAGCCGATGAGAGACACCTGTTCTGAAACCCGTTTGCTTAGATCTTTGCGGGTCCCAACTCTGAGAGGAAGCAAAACTCTTCCTTTTATCCCAAGAGCCTCGCATTCGGAGTAGAACCGTTGGAGACACCTCCCAGGGTGCCTGGTGGTGTAGCTGTAGCCACGCAGGGCTGGAAGCCCGGAGGCCCGGGAATGAGGTTTGTGGCCAGTTCAGTTGGGAGAGGAGGCAGGCAGGTGTGAACCAGGTATTTTTAAATCTGCTTCCTAATTTCAACCTCAAAACATGCTAAACTGAGTTCATTCTACTTCAAGTTTGTTTCCCATTGCTGCATATTGGCTGGTGGTGCTGGTGTGCCTGTGTGTGTCCCCAAAAAACAGACCCGTTGCTTCGTGTTGATTCTGACTCATAGTGACCCTATAGGACAGAGTAGAATTGTCCCAAAGGATTTCAAAGGTTGTAATCTTTACAGAAGCAGACTGCCACATCTTTCTCCCACAGATTCGAACTGCTGACATTTCGGTTAGCAGCCCAGCTCTTTAATCACTGCACCAGCAGGTTATTATGGCTAACGTATTTAAACTTTGTTAGTCACTTTCATAGATGAGATTATAAACGGGTCCTATAAATACTCCCACCTAGGAATAACTGCTGCCCAAGCAGCCTGCTACTCCAGCGGTTGATAAAAGTCTTAATAAATTTATTCTTGGGGAACCTCAGAGTAAACAGGTTTACAGACAAGACCTAACTAATCACTCCAATCTCAGTGCTCTCGGGTAGAAGTCAAGTCATTCAACGCAAACCTCTCCCAAGGCCAGCTGCACCCTGTTCCTCTTGAGAGAATCCAGAGGGTTCCGGCCGGCGGCCATAGTCTGTGCATCTTGGCCAACTCCTGAGCACCCCAAAAGTTCTTCCTATGGTCCTTGTAAATCCGAACCCCTTCCTTATCTTTTCCAGCTTTTAGATCCACTAGAATTGGAATCGCCTCTGCCCCAAATCTACCCCCCTTGGATGCAGAGGCATTGAGCTGGAGAGTTTGAGGGAACGCCCAAGAAAGTCGTGAGTTCAGAGTAAAGCTTGAACTTGCCACTTTTCCGAACGTGCTCATCGGCCCCAGTTCCCACATCTCCTTTTCCACCATTCTATCACAAAAACTAGCTGGCTCTCGGGTCACGGAAGCCACCTGACATGGCAGCTATAGGTGCCCACATTTCCTTGGCGCTCCCGCCTCCAAGCTGTTTTTAGCGGGTGGCAACTTTGCAAAACCTGCTTCAGTAGAAACAAAAGTTCTTGTAATCACTGACGGGACGGACACTGTCAAGGGACTTGCTCCTAAAACCCGCCAGAGGGGGAAAGCCAACTCCTCCTCCCCCAGAGCCCGGGTGTGAACAGGTCCTGGGGAGGACGCGAGTTTCCTGCTCCTGAAGCGGGTTGGAGATGCAGTTAAATTCGCCAGTTCCAGCTTCAGTCACCTTGCCCTTGCCCTCAAACAGGCCAGTGTCTCCTTTCGCTACAATCCAGTGGATCTCCAGAAAACTGGGCCTCGCGCCCTAGCTGCGTCAGGATGCAGGCCAAGAGGGCCGGCGGAGGGCTGTGTGCGTCAGCTTAGGGTTGGACCGCAGGCTGAGCGGCCGGACCCAGCTCACATCAGGGCGGCTGGGCTCAGCCGCGCGCGAGGGACCCGGGGAGGAGAGGCAATGTCTTAAATTTAACTTCCGTCGTGGCTGTGAGTGGTTGGGCGCGGCCCGGACCAAGGGAGCCGCAGGGACCCCAGAACGTGGTGTGTGGAGATTGTGATGGTTCTGCAGATGGGCCAGGCCCGGGGACCGAAGTCAAAAGGAAATGTTTGTAACCAACACATCCGTTCGCGAGCGACGAAGGGGAAACGAACGGAAAAGCTGGCGGGCAGGCGCTGACCCCTGCCAGCGCCCCCGGGCCGGCCAACATGGGAGCCCCAAGAGGGGGAAAGATTAAAAAAAAAAAAAAAAAAAAAAAAAAATCCCAGCTAACAACGAGGTTCGGGCTTTTCTTTCGGCGTGCGCGTGCGACTGTGAAACGTTCAGACTACAAAATTAACCACCCACCATTCCCTCCAAATAACTGTCAGAGATGCAAAAAGCGCAGACACAATGGTTAAGAGGCGAAGGTTTTTACTCCGGCAGAGACAGGACAAGAGAAAGAAAAGCCTACTCCTTCTGGAAACCTCTCAGCTCCAAACGAGGGCCGCCAGGCAGGGCTTCAGCTCTGCGTCCCCAACTGTCCCTAATCCCCACTGCGTTTCTCGAAGACTCTTCATTAGGCACTGGGTAGGTTATCGCGCAAGCCGCCGATCACCCGTGACTTTCAAAACTTCTCCAGTTGGCTTCCAACAATTTAGGAAAAAAGGTGTCGTGTGGCCGCGCCCCTCGGGCATCAGGTCTCGTGGGGGAGTTTGGTCAGGATCTGCGCGCCCCTCGACGTGATGAGAACGGTGTGCTCGAACTGGGCGGACCTGAAACACACACGGCGGCGGTCAGGTCGCGCGCGAGCCTCGCGGGCCGCGGGCAGCAGCTCGCCGGTGCCGGTGGGGGAGTCTTCCCTTCACAAACAATTGGAAAGCAACAGGGCAGAATGCCAACACCTTTGATTGTCTAGGGAGACGGCAGTCCAAGCGTCCTCCAGGACTCTAAATTCAGGGGACCCCTCGGTGATGATTGGCTCTGGAAGAGGAAAAATATTTACTGCAGTGACCTCATCAGATTCTTGTCAAACATTATTTCGGCTGATGATCAAAAAAAGAGAGTAAGAAGGTTCACCCCCCCCACGCGCTCCCCCCTCGGGTTCATGTTGTCGTCTTGTAAGGGCTGATAATTGATGTTGCTTACACAGAATTCTACAAACTAAACAGTAGGAAGAGGAAACGCTACGGCTTTCAAAAATGTATGAAGTTGCCTAGTTCGTAATTTTTTAAAGAAGGGCATTTTAATCAAGCCTTAATTAGGACCCTGTGGATAACAACCGCCCAAACACCAGTCCCTCTTATAAATACCAGCCAGTTTTTTTTTTTTTAATATTTGAATTTTAAAAACATGCTCAAAATGTTCATTAATCAGCAAATAACAATTTTCTTATTTCACTCTAATTGCTTCTCCATTAAGTCCCACAGTCAGAAATATGGTGCCTTCGTGCCCCTGGGTGATTGGAATCTGGAGGTGACACCAATCACATGACCAGCCAGGAACGGGCCTCCAGAGAGTACATGCCACTTGCTGACAGGGAGCAAGGGACATAATCGCCCCTAGTTACTGGGCGTTAAGGAATAACAAAAACAAAAACATCACATTACGCTGGTAACAGAATTAGAGGTTGGACGGCTGCCGTTTCCCAAATGTGTCGGTAAGTATCTGATTTAGGAAGATGGGCTTGAGGATATTATATAATCAGATTTACTATGCATCCGAATTATTTAATTAAGCTGATTGCTTTATTAGCCCTTCACGGGACTGCCTGGCCTAGACCAGCATGCCGCTTCAGCTCCTAGAGCCACCGCGGAAGACACTGACCTATGGTGAACGCCATGCCCTCCTCCATGAGCAGGTCATTGTCGTTTGCTGCAAAACAAAACAAAACAAAACAAAAAAAAAACACGGGGTAAGGGGCATAAGAGATCAGGAGACAGAAAGAAACACAATGGGGGGACACTCAAAAAACTCAGTCATTTTCTTTCTTTTCTTTTGGGGGAGATGGCAAGTGGAGGCTTCTAGAGTTCCGGGGTGGCTCTCACTGGGGTGAAGTACCCAGCTCCTGGGCCTCAGCTGTTGCAGTCCCTGCGTGGGTCACACACCCTCGGAAGGACCTGCCAAGGCACACGAGAGCAGATCAGGTATTTCATACACATGCCTGGCTCACACATGGCTTCACTGGGTCTTCTGTCCCATCCATGCCTCACCCACTCTATCTCAAAAAGAAGGAAGTCAGGCTTCCCCAAGGGAGTGAGTGCAACCTGAGGGCAGCCACCCCTGTTCAAGTTAGAGCAGAAGGCAGGGGCAGGGGGTCTGCAACTTCTGAAATAACTCCAGGCTTTGGGGCTGGGTAGGAGGCAGAGTTGAAAGGCCCTTTCTTCCCTCCTGCTTACCCTCTTCTGAGCCACCTCAGGTGGGGCTTTGGTGTTAAGGGAGTGCCGACCTGCTAGGTCTCCAGGGATCCTCCAGTGGTGGGTTCTAGGCAGCAGAATGGGTGGGAAATAGCCAACCAAGCTCATGGGTCAAGACCCCGGGACTTTCCTCTGGTTCTTGTCCAGTGCCCTGCTAAGCAGGGCACTCCATAAAGCTGCTTCCTACTCTAAAGGCGTCCTCTCACCCCTCTGGCCCACCCCTACGTTTTTACTGTAGGGGTGCACACCAAGCAGTGAAAAACAAGTTCTGGGGAAGGAACACGGGGGTGGGGTACAATTTCTAAATCACTAAAGAGCACATGCTGCTACATATATCAGCTGTCAGTGCTGTGTGGGATGTGATGAAGTCTAACCACAACAGTCAGTGGTTAGAAAAGAGGGTAGAAAAAGAAAAACAGAAAACAGTCATATGTGCATGCTGGTGGGACATTGATGCAGGGGGGTTTTGTTTTTACTAACTTTTTCTAGACAAATATCCCTTGTGCTTTCCAGCCACACATCCTTCAGGAGGAGACAAAAAGCAAAATCTTATTTTGGAATTGAAACTGCTGGGCTCTAATCCAGTAACATAGTAAAGTGCTGGTTAAGATTAAATACATCTTTCCCACCCCCCTACCTTCCCACCTCCAAATGATAATGTGGACTCAAAGCCAGAGAAAGAGTTTCAGGAGCAAAACGGTTTTATCTTGAATCCATTCAACAAATAGCTTCCCAAATAACTTACCATGATGCCAAATTTCTGGATGTCCATGAAAGTAAGATCCTATTCCATGTCCAACAAAATGTGGACAGACTTGCAAACCATTCTGATGAGTTATGCGGCTTTGAAAGTGACCAAACATGATAATTAATTTAGAATAGTTTTTAATGCATAATTAGATAAAACCAAATAAAAAACAAAAAAACAAACTCACTGCCATTGAGTTGATTCCAACTCATAGTGACCCCTGTTGGGTTTTCAAGCTGTAAATTTTATGGTAGCAGATCACCTCATCTTTCTTCTGCAGAGTGGCTGGTGGGTTCAAACCACCAACCTTTTGGTTAGCAGCCAAATGCCTTAAATACTACACCACCAGAGTGCCTTAGATAAAACAAAGTCATTTAAAAATATTCTTTGACTAAGATACAACTATTGGTCTTTATTCCTATGGAGCAAAAGAGAATGATAGATATCAAAGGATTAAAGAAGAAACCAATTGACAGGGCTAATAGCTCACAAAAACTACAACCTCTTTAAACTTCAGACCAGAAGAACTAGATGGTGCCCAGCTACCAGTGCTGACCTTCTGACCAAGGATACCATAATAAAAGGTCCCTGATAGAATGGAAGGAAAATACAGAACAAAACCCAAATTCCTTAAAAAGGCCAGACCTACCACTGGACCAAAATAGACTACAGGAACCCCTAAGACTATCACCCTAAAATAACTCTTGAACATAGAATTAAAGCTATCTCTGTGGGTTACCCTTCAGCCAAATAATAGAATGGCTTACAAAATAAACAATATTACTCATGACTAATGTGCTCCCTTCAAACAGTCAAGATTTACCCAAAAACAAAGGAGAGAAAGTAAGGAGGGAAAGGGAAGCTAGATCAATGGAAACAGACCAAACAGAATAGAAATAATGACAATACTAACACATTGTAAAAACTGTAAACCAATGGCATGAAACAATTTGTATAAAAATTGTTAAAGGGGAACCTAATTTGCTGTGTAAACTTTCACCTAAGACACAATAAAATGTTATTAAATTTAAAACTATATAAATGATAATCACTTATGCTCTACTTAAATGTACTTGTGGGAAAAAAGTGATAATTTACCTACAAAAGTCATCTAGGATTTCCGTAGTACCTAATTTAAATAATGAGGTAAGACATTTAATAAGAAATCTTCTGTTTGCTTGTAAATTTAAAAAATATTATTTGAAAAATAAAATCAGATACATTTAGTCAGATGATGACATTAATATGTTTTCACTGTTCTGGAATCATTTAAATACTTTTTGCTATTGCTTGTAATAACTTTCTTTGGATATATGAAACAAGAAGGTATGTGTCTAACAGTAATTTGCTTCATTTATGTTAGTATAGCATTCAGATAAGGCCACTTTTAGACAACAAAATGTATGCATGCACACTTAAGTAGAATGAAAATACATAATCAAGATACATGTGCATAAAATACAGGTCATAAAAACATTCCTGGTTTGTAAGGGGTTTCACAAAAGGACTGTGCAAATTACAACTAACTTGGGAACTAAACAGAAAAAAATTATAATCAAGAAATAAATGTGACTTCCTTATTTATGATCCTTTTTGCTGTTGTTGTGTGCCATCCACTGGCCTATTTCAAAACATTGTACATTATACAAATAGACACACACAATACTGCTTTGCCATTTTTTTGTGTGTGCAAAAATTCTTGAAACTCCAAAACTTTGTGATCATTTAGGAGTTCTACTCATGACCTACACCATTACCAAAATTTATTTAAAAAATGCTTTTTAATCACTGTGACACTAAAAGAAGCTAGTGTTGGGATTTCCAGTTCTTAATGATTCGTTATTTCACTATGCAAATATTTTGAGTTCCATCTAACCCATATAAATGAAATCTAGCACATAGACTCCAACTCTAAAATCTTCACCTACAAAGCTGAAAAACTGTTTTTGAAATCATGTGACATGAAAGCACTGGAAAGATAAGAACATATATTCCATTAACAATTCATATTTTCATATGGAGGAAGTGCATATTGCCCTTAATGCTAACCATAGCCATGAATTGGGATTTACAGGATTATTATTTTAATTCTTAATGAAACCTATGGGCTTTGATCCTAAACTAGAGTCTCTAGCAGACCCTAGGTTTAGTTTACCATGAACTCAATTAGCCAGCAGCTATGTGAGTATTTGTGTCTATATTATTTTCTCCATACATATTTAATCATCATCTGCAGACCTGTAAGATATCTTCCCTTAGACTGGGATGTCACTATAACCAGCAGATGAGCAGTCTTTCATTCATACTTATTACCATTTAACTAACAGCACAGAAATAGGTAAACTATGCATATGTTGGGGACAGGAATGATAAGTCTTAAAGTTTTTCTCTCTCAAGTTACTCTATATGGTTAGGGTTATTTCTGTGGGTCATTATGCTTTAGGCAAGAGGTATAACGCCTTTTCCAAGGTATTTCTACTTGTACCACACAATTTCAGATTATGAACTGAGGATGTGAAGTACATAGAGGATGAAAGACATTATTAAATAAGATATAATCTCTCTGTATTTTTACAAGCATGGGTTCTACCTGAACTGTAAATTATGTTAGTTCAGTCCCAACACACCTCGGTGATTCTCAGAGCATTCAATATAAATGTTCTCTTAATTTCTTTAAACAACACAACTTTTTTTTTTTTTTTAATTATCATTATTAAGGATCTGATTGGCAGGCATCATACCTACATCTTAAATGTGAGTTACAATAGCAATTTTCATTTTAATTTCTGATGCAAGAAGAGGAAGAAATCCCACTCTGAGGAATGCCCCCCAACCCATTATACCTCTCATTCCTTTTCATAAAAGAAGCTGTGCAATTACTAGGTAGCTAAAGAGATCTGAGGGCATTCTCCTACAACAACTCACTCCTTGGGTCCTGCTGGAACTTCTGGTTAAAGGAGTATCATAGAATATATGCATCATGGATGCAAAGGTCAGAGGATTTCACAGCTGGGTAGAGAGAGGAAGAGCACAGGACGCATTTCCCTCAGGCCCGTGGCTGAGCGCCATCTGCCCATCTCAGTGCTTGATTCCCAGGAGCTAAGTATACACTTCTGTCTACTTTTCAGGGTATTTTCCTTTTGGATTGGTAGTTAGTTTTTAACACATATTTACTGGAACTAAAAGGGATAAAATCTCATTAATGTTCCTAATTACTGATCCCAGTCATGCCCTTTTTTCTATTTGGGGATACTCCAGGAGCACACAATCATTTACCTGATTGTAGGGTTTAAATCCTACTTCACAGAGACAATCCAAGAGACTTGTGGCAGTAAATTCCACTCCTCTGACACTAACAATTATTGGTTACATCACTCGTGGCATGGAAAGGTGGGTACATGTGCCCCTCTTGACTGGCACAATGGGGAAAATGGGAACAGCTGAGCAGACGGGAGTGCCCAAGAAATGGTGGAACTGTTCCCCAACTCCAGCCATCATAGCCATCATTCGTTTCTGGGAACAGTGGTCTTCGTGCCTTGGACATTTCATTGATGAAATCTGGTGAAATCTATTGAAAAGAGCTCTTTGGGTATTAACTTTTCTGTTCTGATTTCTGTTAACTGTCTCTACAACAGTACATCTACCCAAGAGCCTGAGCACAGTAATTGTTTGAAGTATTTCATACAGAATATTTGGGAAGAAGGAGGAAAGGAGAGGGGATAGTAGGTATATAAAGGTAGTTTGTAAACTTTTCAATTATACTGTACTATTATACATATTTCGGGAGCTCTGGTGGTGCAGTGGCTAAGGCATTGGGCTGATAAGCAAAAGGTCAGAAGTTTGAACCCACCAGCCGCTCTGGGGGAGAAAGATGAGGCAGTCTGCTTCCGTAAAGATTTATAGCCTTGGAAACCCTATGAGGCAGTTCAACTGTGTCCTATAGGGTAGCTGTGAGTTGGAATTGATTCAATGGCAGTGGGTTTGGTTGATTTAGGTTATTATACATATTTCAGTTATATTTAGAGTTGAAAGAAAAATACCTTTTAAGGAATTTCATCTCATGACCATTTTCTTCAATGTAATTTTCTTTCATAAGGCAGTTGTATTCAATTGAAATGTTTAGATAAACTTCAACTACATTTCCAAGACTAAGAACATGTTCTCCAAGAAGGGAAAGGAGCACTATACTGAAGGACATACTTTTATAAGGAAGTGAAAACGTACCCAGAAACAGTTTTATTATTGTTTTTTCATGCATCTCAAACAACACTAATCTCCAGATGGATGTCCTTTCTAATTAAAGAATCTCAAGGGATTGTGTAAATTATGGAATTTCACTTTAAGGTTTGCAGATTTTTTTTAAAGCAGTGGTTTTTGACTGAAGGAATTCACAAGTTCAGGGATTCCCTCTAATGACAAGGAATGTTTAAGTACAATTAGTAATATTTTTGAAAGCCAACGACTGTTTTCCAAAAGAATGGCACTTTTTTTGTTGTTGTTGTTTCAAACTGGATCAAAAATTACTGTATTTTTCTTACAATTGTGTTGAACTTTTATTTGAGGTTTTCTGTTTCTGAAAAGCAGACATGATGGATTGAAATAAAAGATAATTTATTGCAATGCTTACTTTCATGTGCTGAGAGAAGCAGTGTAATTGTAATTTACAGTAGCTGTCAAGAAAAATCCATCACAGATGACATTAAAATGACTTATTTTGCCTGAGCCACTTATTGTTTAAATGTGCATAATCTAATAGAAAGAGATTATTTTAAAAAATCTGCTTTATATTGTTCTAAATTAATATCAAAACATATACTTACGAATCAAACATTAAAAACCATTTATTGATACTTTCATCATGACATTTACAACTATAAGTTTAAATTATTTTTGATGGACTTGTCACATATTTGTGATGCATGCATCTACACATCCACAATATTCACATATGTACGAATCATGTCCTCTAAAGACAATTGCAAAAATACGGCTCAAGGAATACTTTAAAACAAATGGAAGTAGAGTGGGTAATAACACTGTAACCTAAAGATCACCAGTCATCCCTTACAAAGCAAAAGGGCACATGGAAAACTCTGGTCATTAAACTATTTTTGCCGATACTTCTTCAGAGGCATCATCCTATCTTTCGGGTTTCAGAGAGTTTCAAGATTTCCTATAAAGCACTCTAGGTTTTTGGTAACATAATAACACCAACAAAAGATGCCTGGATGTTCTTTTCGTGGGGTATCAGCAGAGAGAAGCTATGTAAAAGATGGTGAATATCTTAAACAGGACGGAGTTGAAAGGTGTTTGTAAACCTTCAGTCTGTAATGGTTCCAAGTAGTTTTGGTTTAAAGGTGGTCAATGTTTGTTTATTTACTCCCTTAAGATTTTGCTTGAATAAGAAAAGGCAAAATAATAGATGCCCAGAAACACTTGCTTTTAATGCATCAGAACAAACATTAGTTAGAATTAGGGGCAGTTTCCTCCCCAACGGCAGATACAAACCATCTAAATAATGAAATGCATTAGGGCAAAAGTAAAAAGTTCATTGTCTATTATTTTCCGCATAGTTTTGTAAGTGCAGTTGTTGGGACTGATCAGGTTTTCAAAGGAGCTTGTACATGCAAATCTGTACTCTGTGCAAACTGACCACGGCATCCAGATAGCTAAAATCCAATGTCACTTTCAATTCTACTCTTCTTCTTCTTTTTTAACGTAGCTAGAAATTAATGCAGTGAATATGTAATGAAATGCATTATCCTGCATGGAGATTTATCAGATTTTCCGACTGAATGCTATGCTTTGCTAGTACTAGCTGGAGTTCACCTGCATGTTGGTGTGGCGTGTGGCTCTTTTTTGTAAAGAGTTAAGTCGTACACAAAAAAAGGGAACAAAGGTCAGCACCCAGCCGCCACTTGAATGTGAGATTTTTCTTTTTATTCCCCTTGATGTATACTAGGCTCTGTGTTATTAGTCTTAATGATGGAAAATTGTAGTGTTGATACAAATCTTTTTTTCAAAGTAGTAGGCGGGAGCTCCATTTGTTAGTAAGTTTTTTTGTGACTAAAAGCCACGGACAGTACATTTATGTAGCAGTAAAAGGCCTAGATGCTCTTTCCATAGCAGAGCTAATTATTCCTACTGTGACCTTACTGATCTAGCCTGTTCCTAGTACATCTCATCTGCACGCCTGTTCCTCTGTGTAGATGGTGTCAGAGAATATGAAAAACCCTATAATGAAACCATTTTCATGATGGAGAAAGGCTACTGGAGTTGCACTTGCTACAAAGAGGCTCAATTATATGAGTAATTGTGATAATTTTCTACATTCATAGCCTTCAATGGGGAAAAAAGAATGAGAGCCACAAAGGAAAATTACTTTAACAAGAAAGTACAGAGAGTAAAAATGGAAGAAGAGACAAAAAGGGGAAAAAATAACTAGAAAAAAAGTTTAAAAAATAGATCTGGAGGGAGGAATAGCGAGACAGGGAGAACAACAGAAATGCTCAAAAGCCCATGTGCAGCTGTGTTGCACAATTAAATTGAATTTTTTTTTCTGCAGTTGATGAATGTGACTACTGCAAATGTGCCTCTGTAGTTAGCTATCATTTGTTGTTCCGTGACAGGAAAAGGATAATTACCTCTCAGAGAGAATCAAAGGCTGACATGCCCTTTAGACACAGCCATGAATGCAGAGCTCGATAGAATGCTTGAATAAGAATCCAGTGTTCTCTGCCCCCTTCGACTGAAGAATAAATTTTGTTAAAATGCAAGAGCACCACCAGTGAATTTGTTGAACCCTAGGTGTTCAAAAATATGAGGTGCATCTATCGACTCATCCCATTTGCAAAAATAAAACTGCATTTTGAATTCATTTCTATTATATTCATGGACAGTAAGATAGTGAGATATGCATTAAATTTCTTTTCCCAGTAGGGGTCTGATTCAACATTTCCTATGAAAGAACAGAGAGACACTATCCTTTTTTCCCAGGCTAGTTAGCCTATAATTTAAAACTGTCAAAAACACAATTTTGTTCAAAGTCTTCAATAAAAGCTTCTCAGATATAACCCAAAGAGATTTTACTAAAGTTTGATTCAGATACTGTTACAATATTTTTAAAGCTATAAATACATTTAACTGATATTTTACTGCTTTTTTTCTTAAAGTATTTGAAGGCTTACAGGGGTGGGGGTGGGGAGGTAGGCAGTATCTTTTCAAGGTGACTAAGCCTTCCATCCTTTAGGTAAATGGGAAGTATTCAATGGTTCATATTAATGAGAACAGTACTTTAAAGGGAACTGATGTGATCATCTTTAACAAAATGCCTTATGTACTTTTAAATGAAAACACAGACACTACATGTCTACTTGAAAACAGTTATAGGGGGAAAAAATTCTAAAAGTAGGTAACAGATTACAAAGGAAAATCTTGAATTCAGAAAATACACATGCACTCAGAAAGCAAGCAAGGAATACTGTGTGGGAAATAAACAATAAACAATGGTTTACAAGAAATATGAACCAGACCCAAAAAGGGCACGGATCATGCTTTCAGACTGTTTGTTAACACACTAGTTTGAAAGGTAAGCCTTGAGCTAACGTTTTTAAAAATCTTTATATTATGGGGATATATACTGCTTCGTTCCTTTACTAAAATTTAGCCTTCTACCTCTCTTATCATCCAAGGGTTGGGATACTTAGCCCATTCTTAGGTACTATCTTCCAGATTTGGTGTGATTTTGAGTAAAGGTACTCTAAAGACCAATGTGATGAGCTGAAGTGAAAGCAACCATATACATATTGCTTGCTGCTCCTATAAGCTTCTTTGCTGACCCTAGTATAATTCATTTTTAAAAAAACCTTTCTAAAAAAAAAAAAAAAAACAACCTAGGGTAACAACATTGCAGCTTGGCAGTTCACAAACTGATAGCAGACTGAAATGATGGTTCTGAATCATAAAACATGTCATCAACTTTATACCAAGCCACCAATAACCTTTGTACCATTTGCCAACCCTCCCTTTACTTGTCAGTGTAAGGCTTACCTGATCGTGTTTCCAATTACTGAGAAGGGAGCCCCTGCTCTGCAAGCTGCAATTGCTTCATCTCTACACCTCCTGGCAACCTCCACTAGCTTTTTACCATATTCATCCACATTGCCCACCAAAAATGTTTCAGAGGTGTCCCCATGGTAGCCATTGTAGTAAACCTAAACACAGGGAAAAATTTAAAAATATTTCCTTGTTTAAAGATCTACTCTCCTAAAGTATAAATTGTGTTACTGATACATTTAGTAAATTCATTCACGTGGCTCATCCTCCCAGGATTACTCTCAAGTTTACCTATACCTGTATCTATGTAGATGTAGAAATGGTGAAACCTTGCAGAAATTAAAAAGATGCAGCCATGCAGTGATACTGCAACACTTAAAACAAAATTGACTGTTATGATTAGGAATGCTGCTGTAACATTTTGATTCTTTACTTTAGCAGACAAAACTATACATGTAAAAACTAGTGACCAAAGATACTGACCCACAATTACCACAAGAGGTTTGAAGAACCAAGAATTACTTAACATAGTAACATTTCTTCAATGTCACAAAGATTTGTTAGCTCTTTTATTTACCAGTTTTACACTTGGAAGTGATTTATAATGAGGAGAAGAAATAAGATGGACATGTTAACATTAAAACAGACAGTAGGAGAATTTAGTTCCAAGAACCGGATGTGGTTTGATATAGGTATTAAATATGTTATAGAAAAATACTATGTCTAGAAATGAAATCTTAATAAAATGTCCCAGATAAACCCACTATCATCAAGTCAATTCCGACTCAGAGTGACTTTATCTACAGGACAGAGTAGAACTACTCCATGGGGTTTCCAAGGCTGTAAATCTTTACAGAAGCAGACTGCCACATTTCCTCCTGGGAAGCAACTGGTGGGTTCAAACCACTGACTTTTTGGTTAGCAGTAGAATACTTTAACCACTGTGCCACCAGAGCTCCTAATGTTCCAGACAGCATAGTGCTAATAGAAAACACTATGCATGTTTTTTTTTCAGAATTAGAATGTAACAAAATAAGCTTAAAAGTAAAGTTACAGAAAACATAATGTAGTAGTCTAAGGATTCAGAAGGTTCTGTAGGATCTTGAAAGATGCCAGATTCAATATAAAAATTAATGATTACCACACACTATAATAAATATAGCAGGCGGAGGAGACAGGTTGAGTACTGATCCTTTGAATCATGGAATTTACTATTTTGTGTATTCTTCCTGTTTACTTATTTTTCATCAATTTTCTTTCTCAAGACATAGAATGCAGAAACTGTGTGAAAATATATTTATCTTTTTTTTTGTCTGTTTTGATACTGATTTACTAAATCTGTAAATTATTTTAAAAAAACTGTAAGAAAACTAGGAAAGATCTTTTTTATATCTTCCCTTTTTTTAAAATAATGTTATTATGGTAAAATATAGACAACACACAAACTTTGTCATTTTAACTATTTTAAATGTACTATCCAGTGACATTAGTTATATTTGCAAAGTTTTATAACCATCACCATTATCCATTTTCAAAACTTTTTCATCACCCCAAACAGAAGCTCAGTATCCATGAAGTAGTAACTCCTCATTCCTCCCTCCCCCACTAACAGACTTTCTATGTCAATGCATTGTCTAGTCTACATAGTTCATATGGAGGGGATCATACAATATTTGTCCTCTGGTGTCTGACTTATTTTACTAAGCATAATGTTTTCAAGGTTCATCCATGTATAAGAACTTCATTTTCTCTTTATGGCTGAATAGTATTTCATTGTCTGTATATACCACATTTTGTTCATCCATTCATCTGCTGGTGAACATTTAGGTACACCATTAGAATTTTGGCTATCATGAATAATGGTGCAATGAGCAATGGTGTGCAAGTGTCTGTTAGGGTTCCTGCTCTCAGGTCTTTTGAGCATATACCTAAGAGTGGAGTTGTTGGGTCTTACAGTAGTTTTATGCTTTACATTCTGAGGAACTGCCAAACTGTTTTCCACAGCAGCTATACATTCCCCCCAGTAATGGAATTCCAGGGTTCCAATTTCTGCACAATGGGAAATAACACTTGTTATTTTCCAGTTTCCTGATTATGTCTTCTTCTTCTATGTCAGGAAACTGAGGCACAGACAAGTAACTTGTCTAAGATTAGTTTAATATGACAGACTACTGACTTTGAGTTCGGTTTTTCCTCAGATATATCAAATTGCTTTAAATACCTTGCAACAGTGTAGTGTTTTATACATTTATTCCCATTCATAGTCTTTTATAATCCAGAAAAGTACCAGCTTTTATTTTACATACAATCATATAAAATTTGCTAATATAAGAGTAATTATTCAAAAAATTTTGTACCTGTGAATATTTATATAACTGCTATTTAAGTAAAAAAATATATTATTTTCTAAAATCTCTAGTTGCCTTTTCATATTGTTATTTGCTACCTTTCAAAATGACTACTTGAAAGATTCAATATACATGTAAATATAATACTTTTGAAAGCCTGGGCAGTTATCTATAATTATTATTTGTACCCACAACCTATTCTTGATTCCTACTTCATTTGTTTAACAAATATTTATCGAGCAACTACTCTAGGCATCACATTCATTGTCTTTTCCTTTTTTAGCATTTGGTTTTCAAGGGGGAAAGAAGCTTATCTTCTTGGAATATACAATACCCGTAAACACGTAAATAACTAAAAATGTAATGAGTATTTTCTGATAAAAGTATAGATATTTTAAGTAATACAATTTGTTAAGGAACTGATCTCTGTATTTCCTTGACTCCTTCTAATTTCATTTCTAGACACTTGAAAGTATTTTACTTTGCTTTATGAGTTTTGCAATTGTGAAATCATTTTGATGTTATGAATGGAATTGTTTACTAAAAGTCTTTAGAAAACTTAGAAAAGAAACTGAGTATTCTCTGAACACATTGAAAGCCATGGGGAAGAGTATCATGATTTCATTCAAAGCAGCAATATTTTATAGGAGGTGATAAGGTGAGACAATAAATATAAAACCCTAAAATCAGGTACAATCCAAGAGAAAAGTATGTCATGAAAAAGACTTTATTTCAGGTACACTTCATAAAATACCTCCTTCCTTATGATTCTGAGTTGAAAAGATATCAACAGGATATACATGAAGCAAATGTTCAAGTATTCTAAGTAGGACAAAATGATACAGGAAATATCAGCAAGAAAAGGATCTTTGGCTATATCCTTACACAAAGTGGTATGACAGAAAAAGGTTGAATTAATTTAACAACTAAAAATCTAACTGACTTCAACTATTAGGTGCCTATTTTTACCTCATTCCCACCCCTATTTGAATTTCATGGTTTGGATATAAAATGACTATCACTGAAAATATTTCCATTAATAATAATAGAAACTGTATTCCTTGATTAGCTCTATCACAGCTAATTCTCATCAGTTGTTTACGTTATTTATTTAAAAGTTATTTATTCATCAACAGATGTGCAAAATTTATGACCTGCATACCCACAGGCATCATTACAATTTAAATAAATAAATAAATAAATAAATAAATAAAATGAGCTATCAAAGCACAGATAATCCAAGTTGGAGAAGGTGTAAGATGAAAGATGTATGATGAAAGGGTAAGAAAATTAGAAAAGGTTAGCATGTCTTCAGTTTGAAGTTCCTATATAAAATTACTTAGGCTTGTTATTTAAAAGAAAGGCTAATAACTATTTGTGAAAACTTAAGTTCACAGAGCAAACCACTGTTTGTATGTGTTGAGCTCAAGTCTCTCTGTACCAGAAATGGAACACAACGTTACCTTCAGGGATTTTAATAAATCTAGGGAACACTGCTAGCAAAAGAGTTGCTGTCCAAATAGACTGACACACACAGGCCAATGTAGCCCCTAATGACAGAGTAAGATAATGACAGGCCCCACTCAAAATCAGCAGGAAGAGGAAGATCAATCTTGGCAGAGTGAAGGAAAAATGCTGGCTTTCTTCGTGTTAGCTCATCTCATACATATCTAGCTTCAGCAGCTGCCCAGTGCTGTGGTGCTCTGCATTAACTACACAGTGGATCAATAACAATTACACCTTCTCAAAAACATGACACATAGCAGGATTGGGTTGACATTTCACTTAGGCCAACATTGATCTCAGCGCATCTGATTCCAGCCCTAAATTCAACTCAGGCCTGGGTACTTGGAATAAACACAGAGTTAAAGACAAAAAAGGAAACCAGCTGCTTGTGTCTGGGTCTAGAAGTAAACAGCCCTTCCATCGGTGCAGTTCACATTTTCAGTCTACTCTTCTTCCTGTTGCTACCAGCAATTCTGAAGTTGATCAAAGACTATTTTTTATATGATTTACTCACCGTGACATCAATGTTGATAATATCACCATCCTGAAGAGGTCGACTGAAACATAAACAGAAAAAAAAAATGTTGATAGAGACACTTCAATAAAAGGATGAAATGCCTGATGACCACTATCACAAAGCCCAGTAAGTTCGCAATGACAATTTGGAGGAGAAGAGGGAAAAATGGGATAACTATGTCTAATCTTTAACTTTAGCTAGTCACATTCATTTTTGCAAGAAACACATAGTACAAATGTACTCCCATTGTTTAAAAGTCTACTGTTTTTAAAAGGTGTACTTATTAGTTGTCGTTGAGTCGGATCCAACTCATAGCGACCTGTCCTTGGGTTTCCAAGGCGATATCACTACCGAAGAAGATTGCCCAATCTTCCTTCCAAGGAGTGGCTGGTGAGCTTGAACCGCCAGCCTTCTGGTTAGCAGTCAAATTCCTGAGGCACTACGCCACTAGAGCTCCTGTTTTTGAGTTTGAATTTATTAGTTGTCTTAATTTTTCAAACAGTCAAACAATAGTTGATAACAAATATTTGTCGACATTTGTATTTTGACTATTCATGTACTTAAAATCAAAGAAGGTAAAAGAAATAGTTAATGCACAATCACTTTAAAAACATTAAATGGTGGTGTTATGTCCATTTAGAAGCAAAGTGCTTCAAACTTTTTGCTTTACCATAATCAACTTTAGAAGTTTGCAGGTAGGTTTCAATTAAACTAAAGTGTCTTTCAACATATGTTACAGATCTTAGTTCCATGCTTTAGCTTTCAAAGCAACAATATGTTATTAAGAAATGAATACCTGTCAGGAATACCATGACATAGCACGTTGTTTACAGAGGTACAAACAGATTTTGGAAAATCCCCATAGCCTAAAGGTGAGGGGTAGGCATTATGACTGATGATTTCCTGGTGAACAAGAGCATCTATCTCTTCAGTTGTCATGTCAACCTAAAATATTAAATAAAGAAATTATACAACATCAGTTGAAGACACTGTCTGTATTTATTGACTATGCCAATAGCAATAGCACTTCCAGTTGAGACTGTATAAATTTACTGCAATAAACTTGTGGACAATATCTTAATTAATTATGAGTAATGGTAAAATCCTAAATTGTGCTTTCTGACATTCATTTGGGTATTTGATGGTGTTATAACTATTAGGAAATGGAAATTTCAAACTCTGGGGTCCTTAAATCATTTGTAAGTCATTAAATGACATGACTCCTTTTTAGCCTGCAGATTTAAAAAATATGTTCTTTGGCAATTCTTTCCTCTTCATCAATGGTTAGCACTGTAGGCTAACTAAGGGATATAAATAAAAGCTTAAAAGGTATTCAGTTTAGATGACAAAGTTGGAAAGTAGGTCAACCACTCCTATTTTCTCAGTGAAATATTTACACGGGTTTTGTAGCAACGATACAGAGATTATGGATCATCATTTTTAAAAGTGAGTCTGATATATCTTGCAGACATTTGCTCTTCACTAAATCTGATTTCCTTAATGGCTAAATAAATTAATTAATAATAATAATAAAAAAAAGATTTTCCCCTCACTAGAAGAAGGTATACAGGAGACCTGATGGTGCAGTGGTTAAAGCACTAGGCTGCGAACTGGAAGGTCATTTGTTTGAACCCACCAGCTCCTCTGCAGGAGAAAGATGTGGCAATCTGCTTCTGTAAAGATTCCCAAAAACAGCCCAAACCAAACCACTGCCATTGAGTTGACTGGGACTCATAGTGACTCTGTAGGACAGAGTAGAATGACCCCATAGGGGCAGAAGACTGCTTCACCCTTCTCCAATGGAGCTTGTGGTGCATTCAAACCACTAACCTTTTGGTTAGCAGCCAATGCATTTAACTACTGCACCACCAAAGCTCCTTTCTGTAAAGATTACAGCCTTGAAAATCCTGAAGGGTGGGTTTACTTTGTTCTGTAGGGTCAATATGAGTTGGAATTCACTTGAGGGCAGTCGGGTTTTTTTTGTTGTTGTTGTTTATAAGGTATACAACTGTTCTCAAACTAAAGGAAAATTAAATAACTCATAAATCACTAAAAAAAATTCTAAAAAATAAAGTCTTTATTGAAAAATTAACTATTTCTTCAATAATTTCTTTTGTATCATTTGATGTTCACATTATGCTTAGTTATCTTGCTCTAACAAGTTTATTACACAGACACTGTAAAGGATTTCATCTTTGAGTCTCACTCCTAAATTCAGATTAGTGTGAAAGAACTAAATCTTGTAGCAGAACAGTTGCACAAAATTATGTTGTTATACTACCTATAGCTTTGTGTACTTGGTCTGATCTTTCTTTGCAGAGATAATGGAATAAAATAGGAGATACAGGCCAAGGCAGAGCAGCTCTTCAGGCACACAGAAACAACAGTGAATAAAAGCAGAAACTACAGGCAGGAGTAAGGCGGCAAAAGTCAAAACTGTCTACCATTGATCAACTTGGATAAGGCGATTCTGTCAAAAGTATCTCCAGAATTGAGCTACTTCAAATTTAATTTGGATTTAATAGCACCCATTGAATATACATGTAAAATAATAAAATTCCCCTTCCCCTCATCCCAAGGCCTTATTTAATTTTTAATAGATTAGGTGTGCACAAAAGCAGGGTTAAAGAGAAAGGGAAGAAATGGGGGGGGGGGTGTCCCTTATGTGAGTCCTTCTGAGGCTTGGTGAGATACCACCTTTAAACTCTTCCCAGCCAGGAGCAGGACATGACGGGCCAGCTGACAAGCCTGACGAAGCCCTTGAATCTGATCTTCATTCTTAACTTCTATGCTGTCTCCCCAGTCGGGTACAATGCCTGTCGTCACATAGTCTGGCTTCTTTATGTGCTTGAGGAAAAAGGATTGAAAATGAAGATCAGAACCCAGCGCACGACAATGGGGTCATTTTCTCCGACACAGCCTCCTGCTTCATGGAGCTCTGCCCTTCCTGCCGGAGCACCGACCTCCCGAAGCCAGCACAACAGACCCTCCAGGCTGCCCCCGGTTCCTTCCCCTGCCCTTTTGAACTTCACATGGCCTGTTAGTGCTGCCTCTGGATGGTCCCTTAACCTTACTGTGCTTTGAGTCAAAATGGACTGAAGTAGACTTCTGGTCAAAACAAACAGTAGTTTTCTTTTCTTCCTCCTCCCAACCCCATTAGAAATGTATTGCCATTGATGAAAAATAGCACCCAGCTTCCAAATTGCCAAATGGCTCATTAAGGGCACTTTCATCTTCTTACCACAAAGATAAAATTTATGCAAAAGATACCTCACAACACCCTCTCTGAATGAATATATGTAAAAAGGCTGACTGCCAAGTCCATTGAAGCTTACTACACATATACTTTTCTTACACTTTGGAACATACCCAAACTAAGGGAGTGTGTGTGCATGTGTGTGTGTGTGTATGTGTGTGGAGCAGAGATCGAAAATATAACAGCTTTCTATTTCTTCCTTTTCTGCCAAGTACATAAAACTACCTAGAATGCTTCCATCATTTGCCAAAATCAAACAAAACAAAACAAAACAAAAAACCCAAACATTCAACTCTGATCCTTGTAGACATTCTATAATACTTAATTAAACCCATGGACAGAACATAGAAAATAAATATCTTATACACAGAGCTCGTTTCAGTTCCAAGGTTTTGCACAGCTCCTTACAAACTACAGAAACTACTACATAAGCCGTGCTGAATAGTGCAGAGTCAGGCTGCATAGCATTTTGGGACAGGAAGCTGAGGGAGATAACAGTATTCAGCTGAAACATCACAGGAACTCTGGAAAGACTGAGGTTGAAGCTCTCCTCTTTATGAAGCACATCAAGCAGGATTAGAGGGCCTCTGCTTACTCCTATGTTCAGATGGACCTTTCTCACCCAGGTACTGCCGAAGCCTTACTTTCCACTACGCAGTTCTGTGTGAGCATTCACTCTCGACAGCTTTACCCCTCAGTGATCACCAGACTCTCCCAAAGCATCTGCACACTTATGGCTCCTCAGTGATGTTGTGAGGTTATAGCTACAGGCAGAAGGGCTGTTGGGTCTTCACTGAATTTCTAAAACAATACTTAGTTCACTCCTCTGGAGATTTCTTTTTCTTTCTGACTAAGGAAATAAATGTCAGTTTTGTGAGTAATACCAAATGCTGGCCCTGGCTCTGATGGCTGGACCTGAACGGAGCAGGAATGTGCTCTGGGCTCTCGTGGCCCTTGTGCTTGTCAGCCTTTGGCACAAAAACGCTCCGCGTACCTTCAGGGAGTACAGGCAGTCCTGGGAGCACCACAAGTGCCTTTCCTAAATCTGTCTTTAAGTTGAATTTGCGTGTAAATTGGAATAATTAGGTTCGTATATAGCATCAGTTAGTCAAATGTTTGGCTTAGTACACAGTATATAGTGCAGCTTTCTATCATAAAAAGTATTAAAGAAGCATTTCCAGATCCACTAAAACATCTTTAACATAATACAACAACAACAATAATAATGTTTTGATGGACGTCACAAAGAAGAGCCCACTTGTTATCATGAACCATGGTATATACCTCACATTTTTAATATACCAGGCTTTATGGTGGTTGATTCATAAGTACGGGTTGTATGTAAGTCAGATGTTCATGGCCTGGGGGATTGCCTGTATAATATAGTAATGTATCTCACTGTGAAAAAATAAAAGCTTATAAAGGGGAAAGCAAGTGATCTTTGTGACAAATATATATTTCTTTTAGCCATTCTTGTTCTTCCAAAATGATTCACATACCTCCTTTATGCTGCATTTTGAAAAATCAGAAATGCTCTGATTTTTCAGATAAATGCTTTGATTTAATTTAGCCTAAGAACAATTCAAAGACAATACCATCAATAACATGAACACTGTAAGAGCAGGCTTTAGAAAAAATATCTGTGTACTGATTTCAAGTAATCTCTCTTGGAAAATCTTAATTTCATAATTTATTTTTTTTTTCTCTTAAAAAGTTAGGAAACTACATATGTGTAGCTTAACCTTCATGTTAGAAATTTTATAGAGAAAATTTCACGATGGAGATTTTAATTTGAAATGAGCTAAGTAATAGGAAGCTCAGACCTTCATTTTTTAAGGAATTAATGTAACAGAATTGCAGGATGTTAAAACTTCTCACATCAGTTTACATCACAAACCAAGTTTAAAAATTATGATTCGAATGCCCCAGAAATCAAAAACGCAAAAGCATTTGATCGCTTCTGCAGTCGTCCTTTATGCTGGCTGGAAAAAAGTAGCAGATGAGAGGCAATACAGTACCTTAGGGACTGGGTGAGCTGGAGAAACTGCAGCCGGCAAAACTATACTGTGTGAGGTATTTCTTTGTCTCCAGAAGAAGAAATTTCTTCTTTGTTGACTGCCTGACTGCTTGTGTGAGTAGATGTGATTGAGTGAAGAGAAAATTCTGTGACAACCTGTGAGCAGAAATAGATACATTTTAGTAAAAAAAAAAACCTAACACAGTGCGGCACTTTAAGATGCTGTGTTATCTATTGAATCATTATTCTAATCCATTATTGGCTCAAAAAGAAAAAGCTCCAAATAGAAGGGAAAGCAGTGGTATTCTGAGTTCTATACAACAGTAGCACAGTTTATTTATTAGCTGACACCATGTTTACATGAATGTTTGGCAATGGAATACTTTACTCTAATGGTAAACAATCATATAGAAACATCTGCTAAGTACCAGGTCTGTAAGAAAAAAAAAACAAAAAAAAAAACATTTCTTTTGTGGTACCTTATGTGGCAATGTCCTGGATGACCCTGGATTCAGGGCACTGTTTTGATGGCTTTATACTTTTTAATGCCATTTTCCTTCCAAGAAACATGGACAAATTGCCAGCTGCACTTTTTGCTCTCCCTAGGATTACTACTCTGTGTTAAGTTCACATGCAGTGAAGCATTCTACTGAAATTCATTGTGATGAATGCTCAAGTCAGAGAAAGACCGAACGGCAAAAGTGTAGTGTAATTCCAAAAGAAAACGAATATAGGATCATAAAGTACCCACAGTAGGAATTCAGAAACATGTATCTAAATTTTAAATGTACATATCTTTTGACTCAGCAATTTGTCTTCTAGACTTGATCCAGTAGATATTATCATGGATGTGTACAATGATGAACATGTAAAGATATAGAAAAAAATGGGAAACAACCCAAATGTCCATCAATAGAGAACTTGTTAAATATATTATGGCATACTCACAAAACAGAAAATTATAGAGCTTTAAAAAGAATATGCTAAATCATCTTTACTGATATGAGAAGAGGTCACAATCCATTGTCAGGGGAAAAAAGGTGCTGAGCAATACATATAAATAAGCCTACCAATGTAAAAATGGTCTATATATTTATATAAGCTTGTATATGTCTATAAAATTTCTGAAAATCAGTATTTATCAACAGTGGTTATTTTTGGAGCCTGTGATGGGGCTGGGTAATAGACGGGAGAAATTTCATGTATAATTTCATATTCATATAAATTTCATATGTAGTTGTTGTTATGTTCTGTTGAGTCGGACCCAACTCATAGTGACCCCTCCTTGGGTTTCCGAGGCAGTATCACTATATAAGTAGACTGCCCCATCTTCCTTTCAAGGAGTGGCTGGTGGGATTGAACCACCAGCCTTCTGGTTAGCAGTCAAGTGCCTTAGACACTATGCTACCAGAGTTCCCGAATTTCATATAGAAAATTAAATAATCAAGAAGTCTTGATTATTTAATTTTCTTCTATACTGTTAGATTTTTTTAAAATCCACTTATATGACTTTTATGATTAAAACAATAGTTTAAAAAATTCTCAACATTCCACAACTGCATAACAGACCCCTGTGAAGGTGGATGGTCTAAAGAAGGGCAAACCATGGGCCAAGGGCAGAATCTGGCCTGCTCCTTGTTATTGTACACCTCATGACCGAAAAATGGTTTTTACATTTGTAAATGGTTGAAAAAAATCAAAATAATAAAATTTTGTAGCATGTGACATTACATGAAATTCAAATTTCAGAGCTCATAAATAAAAGTTATTTGGAACACAGCCATACTTATTCACTTATAATTGTCTATGGCTGCTTTTAAGCTATAACAGCAGAATTGAGTAGTGACAGAGACCATATGGCCCACAAAGGATAAAATATTTACTATCTGGTCCTTTACAGACAAAGTTTCCTGACCCCTGGTCTGAGTCACTGTTTTTCAAAATATGGTGCTCAGACCAGCAGCAGCAGCATCACATGGAAAAGAGATGTGAATTCTCAGGTCCCTCCTCCATCTATGGACCCAAAAACTCATGGTGAATCTGTGCTTTAATAAAGCCTTAGGCACTGCCATTGAGTCGATCCTGGCTCTTAGCAACTGCCTTTGGTTTCCGAGGCAGTATCTCTACGGAAGTACACTGCCCAACCTTCCTTCTGAGGAGTGACTAGTGGGTTTGAACCGCCAGCCTTCTGGTTACCACTCAAATGCCTTAGGCACTATGCCCCCAGAGTTCCCTTTTGTTCAGTTTTTTTCTCATGTTGATTCTGGTGCCCACTCAAGTTTGGGAACCATTGGCCTCGAATAGTATTTCAGAATTGAGTACTGGCCCCCAAACTCAAGATCTCTAATTGAACTAGAAAAGGCCCTGATACAAATCCCAATGATTCAGTGTCCTAAGTTTCATTCAATTATGTTCTTCTGTTAAGTTGAATATAATATTGTTGAATGAAACTTAGAGGTGTTTTGGGTTCTAAACACCAGATAAAATGCCAGTAATATAGTTTCTTTTTAGCAATTTAATTGCTTGAGAGAGGCTGGTACATATTCCTTGAAGCCTGTGAAATACAACACTTCCCTAGAGAAAACATCACCGGCCCTAGAACTATGAAGTGGTACATGAGGGGCAGGCTGGTGTCGAGGAAAAGCAGAAGATGAGAAAACAGAAGCCTGAACTCATGCCTCAGCTCCACCATTTGTTAGCTGTGTGACCCTGAGCAAGTCTCCTCTTTTGAGTCAAGTGAGAATTAATTGGCATAAGGTAGTATTTGAGGAATAAAATGGGGAAGAAAACATGGGCTTCTCTATAGTTTCTAATATTCAGCACTGACTATGTGTCAGTTACTATACTAGGCACTTTACATGTTTGCTCATTACCTTCGTTAAGAACCTTGTGAATTATGAACTGTTGTTACTCCATGTCTTAGTTGAAAATACAGAGGTACACAACTGTCTGTAACTTTTGGGACACACAGTAAGTTCCAAAGCTGAGGGAAAGCAAATGGAGCTGCCTCTACCAAGTATATCACTTCTCTCCCAGCTATGAGAGAAAATGAGCTAACACACATAGACACACCCAGAAAACGTAAAATGTATCATAAAACTTAAATTATTTAACCAAAGGTGGTGGTGGGATGACCTAATCCATTCATTCTCTCAAGCCTAACTCCCTTTACTCAGCAAATGTATGCTTCAGTGAGGCTGCTGACAGAAGCTAACGAGTCTGCAGAGTTGGAATGGAAAATCTGGGTCTCAGCTAAGGCAAAAGAAAGACTTCTGTGATATCAATCCATGATTCCGAGTCCTCCAAATGCATCTCCAGGTAGGAGCACATACACAATACAAACTCACAGTATTTGCCTTACAAGGGAGTGTGTATTATGCTTATTATTAATAATGACAATAATAATAGAAATTCTAATGATGACAGTGGCTACAATCAAATAGATACTTTGTTCATGTTAAGCACAGTGCTAAAACAAAGAAGCAAACCAAAACCAGTGCATCTAGTCCATTCTGACTCACAGGGACACTATAGGATGGAGGAAAACTGCCCCATAGGGTTTCCAAGACTGTCATCTTTACGGAAGCAGATGACCACATCTTTCTCCTGCGGAGAGGCTGGTGGGGTGGAAATGCCAACCTTTAGGTTAGCAGCCAAGTGCTTAACCACTGTGCCACCAGAGCTCCTAGCACAGTGCTAAGTGTTCTCCATTATCTCTGGTCCTTACTAGCCCTGCTAGGTAGGCAGGCAGCTGTTAACATCATCATTATGGATGAGGAGCTAAGGCTCAGAAGAGTTAAGTGACTCTTCAGACTCACACCTCTGGTAAAACAATAGGCTGGTCCTGAGCGCAAACCCCTAAATTCAAATCCAAGGCCGTCTCTGCCACTCCCAGCTGCCTTTCAACAGGGTATGGGGCACTGTAAGCTCTATTAGCTAGCATGCTGTACTATATAATGCATTTTTTCAGGGATTAGATGGTGATGAAAGTTTTTTTTTTTTTCCCCACCCATCATGCAAAATGTAAAAGTCATGGGACCAGTCAACATTTAGAATGAAGGTATTTTCCATGAA